TGAATGCAGACTTCCAAAGAATAGCAAGAAGAGACAAGAGGACCTTCTTAAACAAACAGTGCAAAGAAATAGAGGAAAATAATAGAAAGTGAGAAAGGAGTACAACAAGGCTGTATATTGTCTCCCTGCCTATTTAACATATGCAGAGTACATCATGCGAAAGGCAGGACTGGATGAATCCCAAGTGACCGGTTTTACTTTCTTGGGCTCCATGATCATTGCAGATGGAGACAGCAGCCATGAAATTAAAAGATGCCTGCTTCTTGGGAGGAAAGCCATGACAAACCTAGACAGCATCTTAAAAAGCAGAGACATCACCTTGCTGACAAAGGTCCACATAGTCCAAGCTATGGTATTTCCAGTAGCGATGTATGGAAGTGAGAGCTGGACCATAAAGAAACCTGACCGCCGAAGAATTGATGCTTTTGAATTGTGGTATGGAGGAAACTCTTGAGAGTCCCCTGGACTGCAAAGAGAACAAACCTATCCATTTTGAAGGAAATCAACCCTGAGTGCTCACTGGAAAGACAGACCCTAAAGCTGAGGCTCCAATACTTTGGCCATCTCATGAGAAGAGAAGACTCCCTAGAAAAGCCCCTGATGTTGGGAAAGTATGAAGGTAGGAGTAGAAGGGGACGACATAGGATGAGATGTTTGGACAGTGTCAGACAGGAGGGCCTGGCGTGCTTATGACTTAACAACTAAACAACAAAGAAGTATGGGCTAAGAGGAATACAGTCTGGAATCGTTCCATACACCTCTGGAAATGCTAACTGCAGAAATCAACAGTTTTGCAGGGGGTTAGGGAGCACCTTGTTTCCACTTCATTTGTTGAATATGGGAAGTAGTGCTTAGCTAATTAGAACTGCCTGTAATAGAAGTCTATGCCTCTGGTAAAGAGGCATTAAGCTCTGCTCCTAGACCTTAGACTTACACTATCCCAATCTGATCTTGAAAAGAATTGTAAAGGAAAGGTTAAGTAGCTCCCCTTTTGCTCAAGATCATCAGGTTTTGGTGTACCTTGCATTCTCTGCAGTTCAATCTCAAATTTGGTTTTCTCATTGTTCAGTCATTCAGTCGTCTCCGACTCTTTGTGACCCCATGGACCAGAGCACGCCAGACCCTGCTATCCTTCACTTCCTCCCGGAGTTTGGTCAGATTCATGTTGGTTGCTTCAATGACACTGTCCAACCATCTCATCCTCTGTCATCCCCTTCTCCTCTTGCCTTCACACTTTCCCAACATCAGGGTCTTTTCCAGGGAGTCTTCTCTTCTCTTGAGATGTTTAGTCATAAATAAATTAAAAGGGATTAATTTAGTATTCAGACTGAAATGTTTCCTTCTTATTTACTATTACAGGACATGCATTTGAAATATCTTTGCAACATTAAAAAAAAAAAGATATGCGTTCAGGAACTGAGCAGAGGTAGTAGAGAAAGAGGTGAAGCCTGGACAATCTTTGGGTGCTATGGGTCTTCAACATTGCCTGAAACTAGTATTGCTAATATTTGATTTAAAAGATACCCATCATCAGAGACAGGGATAGCAGGCTAGGACAGGGCATGAAGAGAGCAGAGCATGGGGCGACCTAACTATCAGGAACAAAGTCAATACTTAGCAAATTACTGGCAAATTATTTTTGTCAAGTAAAGGAGAAAGATAAATTGATGACTCGCACTTGATACTGTTCATATGAAAAGTAGTATATTACCAATGGTTGGTGGCAGCATAATTAAAGGGTGGTATACTCCAGTAGGTCTGGGGTTGTCACAGTCATAAATAAATTAAAAGGGATTAATTTAGTATTCAGACTGAAATGTTTCCTTCTTATTTACTATTACAGGACATGCATTTGAAATATCTTTGCAACATTAAAAAAAAAAGATATGCGTTCAGGAACTGAGCAGAGGTAGTAGAGAAAGAGGTGAAGCCTGGACAATCTTTGGGTGCTATGGGTCTTCAACACTGCCTGAAACTAGTATTGCTAATATTTGATTTAAAAGATACCCATCATCAGAGACAGGGATAGCAGGCTAGGACAGGGCATGAAGAGAGCAGAGCATGGGGCGACCTAACTATCAGGAACAAAGTCAATACTTAGCAAATTACTGGCAAATTATTTTTGTCAAGTAAAGGAGAAAGATAAATTGATGACTCGCACTTGATACTGTTCATATGAAAAGTAGTATATTACCATAGTGGTATTTTAACAGCATTTGTTTATTTATCTGTTTATTTGAAACTACCCATGTTCTAGCTTCCATTGCATTTGGATAGTGGTTCCTAACCTTGGGTCCCCAAATATTCTTGGACTGAAACTCCCAGAAGCTTTGACTACTAGTATTGACCAGGATTTCCAAAATTGGAGGCTAGAGATATTCATTTCTTCATAGGGCACCTAGTTCAGTGTTCTTGTTTCCTCTGTAGGACCCTTTAACTCTTTGTTAAGACAGGGAGAGAAAAGGAGGGAGAGAAAGGAACAGAAACTTTTGATGACTAGTAATGGTGATGGAGAGTGAAGAGAAGAGACGATTGCATGAGCACTGGTTATGTTTGCAGGTAAAACATAACCCTGTAAAATCAAGCAGGAAAGCACTGTAGCTTTGCAAGCAATAACGGGAACGCAGGTCTCATCAGTTTATCTGGAATGTACATGTATTGCTTTAGTTATTGGAGCTGCAAGAAAGTAACAGTTTTTTAATGGTTGGACCTCCATCATTTATTTTCTAAGAACCATTTTACATGTGATTGCTTTATTGATTTGTAAACTGCTTTGTTACAAGCCTCATAATAATAAAACACGGAAAAAACACAATACACAAAATTAAGATACCATATTTATGTTAGCCCTGAGAACAGAAAAGTGTGAAATATATGCCAGGAAAAAAATCACAGTGGTAGTGAAGATAAGGTGCGATAGGAAGATGGAGACAGCCGCCACAAAATTAAAAGACACCTGCTTCTTGGGAGGAAAGCGATGAAAAACCTTGACAGCATCCTAAAAAGCAGAGACATCACCTTGCCAACGAAAGTCCGCATAGTCAAAGCTATGGTTTTTCCTGTAGTGATGTATGGAAGTGAGAGCTGGACCATAAAGAAAGCTGACCACCGAAGAATTGATGCTTTTGAATTGTGGTGTTGGAGGAGGCTCTTGAGAGTCCCCTGGACTGCAAGGAGAACTAACCTATCAATTCTAAAGGAAATCAATCCTGAGTACTCACAGGAAGGACAGATCCTGAAGCTGAGGCTCCAATACTTTAGCCATCTCATGAAAAGAGAAGACTCCTTGGAAAAGACCCTGATGATAGGAAAGTGTGAAGGCAAGAGGAGAAGGGGACAACAGAGGATGAGATGGTTGGACAATGTCATCGAAGCTACCAGAATGAATTTGACCCAACTCCAGGAGGCAGTGGAAGATAGGAGGGCCTGGCGTGCTTTGGTCCATGGGGTCACGAAGAGTCGGACACGACTAAACAACTAAACGATGACGAGGAAGATTCAGGGTATTTGAGGGGGTTGACAATATTTCTGGAGAAGCCGAGAGCACAAGTTCAAACATGGAGAGTTAAAGGGAGTGCTTAGGGCAAGGTGTAGAGAGAGAAAAACAGCAAGAGGGGAAAGTAAGAGCAGGGGGGAAACAGAAAGTACCAGAGGAAGGGAATAAGGAACCTCTAACTTATGTGAAGCTGGTATTTCTATTACTGTATTAACAAAGAATTGACATAGCCCATCCATGAAGACAGTTAGTGTAAAAGGTCAACAAGATTGCAAATTAAATACTTGCATAGATTTTATCAATTACTCTATGGATGTTTAAATTCATGAATTACATGCTACTTAAGGCAAATGAGTCACTGTGATTTGACGAATAGGTTACAAGGGCCACAATATATTGAAATAAAATTCAAAGAAGGATCTGTGGTCCAAAAAAGCTTGAGAGAAATTGATAGAGAGTGTTTGGAAAAACCTCCTTTGTTTAAATGACATCATTCTAGTTTCCTTGCAATTTGATATCATTCTGTCATTTAGTGCAATAAATCACTGGTTCAAATGCTTTTTTAAAAAAATGACATATTTCTGTCTGACAATAGCTAGCGTAAACCCAAGAAAATTCGTTTCAGTTCTTCCTAGGTTTCAGCAGAGTGGTAGACTGGGAAAGCACTGCCATGTGAGCCAAGAGAGATGTCAGTTTGCCCTGCAAAGAACGAAGCTGGCAACTTCATTTTGGACATATGGCAG